GAGATTCTGCAGATTGAATTCCTACTAAAATCAAATTGGGTCCCAAACGAAATGCGGCCAGATGTTGTTCTGGATGCATCTGGCAATTCGGAGACCCCTGAAGACCTGAGTCCAGATCAGGGCATTGGAGCCAGCAGGGACCGGGCGATCCATAGGCACCTGGGCTGGTATGACATTGTGTTCGAGCCGCAGGTGTTCCGAGTGATTGCTTTCAAACACGTTCCCTCACGTATTTCTCATCACGGTCCTGAGAGGCAGGCAGAGCTGATTTGATTGGCCCCATTTACAGATTGGCAAACTGAGGCTCCCAGTGGTTATGGCCTTGCCCATGGGTCGGGGTAGGGTGAAACAGAAGGACAAACTGGGACAAGCACTGGACCCACGGCTCCTGCCACAGCACCACTGCTCGCGGCTGGTTTGAGTGTAGATGTCAAAAGACAAAGACCTGGTGCCGTGGGTGTGGTGTTCAGGTGTGAGCACTGAACAACAGTGGCCTGGGATCCTGACTGCCACTCATGGGCTGGGCCTGTGGGAGCCTCGCGTGTCTCCGTGTGCCTCGGTCCCCATGTGGAGATCCCTGAGCACAGGGCTGGGCCTGTGGGAGCCTCGCGTGTCTCCGTGTGCCTCAGTCCCCATGTGGAGATCCCTGAGCACAGGGCTGGGCCTGTGGGAGCCTCGCGTGTCTCCGTGTGCCTCAGTCCCCATGTGGAGATCCCTGAGCACAGGGCTTGGCCTGTGGCTCACGCTCGGCGAGTGTCAGTCATTCTGTGATGCAGGCAGTGGGAGGCTTCTGAAGTTCCCCTGACATTCAAGGCCCAGCTACTAGTAAATACGAGGGAAGATTAATATCCGGGTACGAGAGACCTCTGCCTTCTCGTTTACTTCTCTGGTCTTGTTTTAATATCACGGGCTGCCAATCAAACCACAGAAGAGTTTGGGGTGACCTGCTGTGCTCATTCATGAACGTTGGCCCCGATTTGCCTCAAGTTGGACAGCAGTACCAAATCTTTATTTTTTCCGTTAATCTTACTGCCTCCGTATTTCATTTTTAAATTTCATTTTATCAAAAACCTCCTTTTTTGTTGGTGCTCTTTGTTTCTGGATAAAGGATTTGCAAAATGATCCAACGTGTGAACAAAAAGCCTTGTGCCCTCCTGACAAGGCTGCCCCGGGGGGCGGGGTGTCTCCCAGGCCACCCAAGCACGTGTGCTGTGGGGCTGGTTCCCACAGCAGCAACACCTGGTCTAGGCTGGAGCTTTTCTTGTGGAGAGTGGCTACAGTTTTTGAACAGGTTCAAGCCTCAGACTAATGAGAGGGCAGGTCTTCTCATGGCAAAGCCACGAACAAGTCCCAGCTTGGAGGGCAGAGCCCTCCCAGCATAATTATAGACAAAGGCTGTATGTACTTGTAAGCTTGAACCTATGGTCCGAACACGTGGCCCCACGTGCCTGAGTGATGTAGGCTTGATAGAGTTCAGGTGCATGTAATTAAGTAGGATCGAAACGCATGAGAATGTTGTAAACATCTAGACCCCGCCCTTACTTTGCCTCGTGGAATCTGGCTATAAAATAAAGACACAGCTAGTAGCCTGTGACGCTGTCACAGAGGACAGCGTCCCACCCAGGCCCAGCTTTTTCCTCTTGTCTGTCTTTTCTCAATCCTTCACCGCCCCCTCTCAGGCTCACCGAACCTGGCTGAGCTGGCTCGGCACATATGGCACCCAACATGGGGCTGAGTATGCCATGGCCGTGCCGGCTCGCCACATTCTCTGACACCTGGAGAGACGGTAAGACGCTGCTTTCCCAGCCCGTCCGACACAGGGCGCACCTGCTGCTTCACCCTGCCTCCCACCTGCCCTGGCCCTGCTGAAGGCTCAGTAACTCACTAAATAAGTAAGGCAAAGGCACAACTCTCACAAAGACATAATGTAATGCACATCAAAGACTTTTATCTAATGCATTAATTGAACAAGGGAACTGGTAAGATGTTCAAAAAGAGAAATCAAAGAACCATGCATTTATTTTTATTTTTTAACCCTCACCTGAGGATATTTTTTCCATTGATCTTTAGAGAAAGAGTAGGAGGGAGGAAGGAGGGGGAGAGAGAGAGAAACGTGGACTGGTTACCTCCCACATGTGCCCCAACCAGGATCAGGGATCGAACCTGCCACTGAGGTATGGTCTGAAGGCTGAGGCTCTAACCACTGAGCACTCAGCCAGGGCCAAAGACCCACACGTTTATATGCAGAATATTGAAATGTATTCACCAATGGACACAGCGTGGTTTACCCCTGGAGACACCCCCTGGACTCTTCCTACTCCAGACTTCCCCGCCGGTTGGCAGAAGTGACCTGAAGAAAAAATGATTCTGGATCGCAGAATAAGGCCGGCCTCACGGGGTTTGGCTGTTCTGTGCAGGGCAAGAGGGCCAGCCTGCCAGACGGCCCTTCCTGTGTTTGCTTTGCCGAAAGACTTCATAATTGGGCTTGTCAGCGCTTCCATTATTTGCTGTCCCAAGGCTTTCCAGCGCACAAAACTCTCTTACAAATTGGGGGAACTCGTTTCTTGTCCAGCTCCCCAGAATATCCCAAGGCCCCTGTGCCGCCAGTAGGTGAGGCCTCTCTTCCCAACTGGAAGGCAGGAGCCTGGGGGCCAGGGACCAGGTCAGTCCCCGAGGAGGGCTCCGCAAGCACCAACTCCTCGTTACAAGAGTCTGTCACCCCTGAGTAAACGAGCAAGACCGATGTCCCCCAATACATCCTGGTAAGAAGGAGAACCGGTTCTCATGGAGACTTTGCAGATAACAGCTTTGCCATGAAAAGCAAAAACTTATAAAAGTTTCTGAATTAGGGGAGGGCAGGCAGTAAAAACCAGAGAGCATGTGAAAATGTCTCATTTCGCTTTACAAAAGGAGCTGTTAGGTTGTTGAGAGTGACATATAGCTTCGGAGGAGAAAGAGCTTCCCTATCCATCCGGAAAATGAAACGTGAAGACATCTACAACGCGGCAGACAAGCACAGCACCGTGTCCGTCGTTCTCTTCCGCTGGGTCTCGGGTGAGCCATCTCATCAGTTGTCCGTTGTTGAACTGAAATCCCAGTCGGCCCACAGGAATGGTACGAACGTCGTCTGTATGAGGCCGTCAGACGCCGGTCCCCAGGGTCCTGTCCTCTGGAGCTCTGAGGCGGTCGGTCCCGCAATGAAGCCACAAACTGGACTCCAGCTGATCGCGGAGTAGAACACCCTCTGCGGTGACCGCCACCTGGGTTGCCCGTTTTACAGAAGATGAAATGGAAGCACAGAGAAGCTGAGTAGTTTGCTCAAGTCACAGAGCTAAGAGGCGAGGGAGCCTCGAGGGCCACGGGGCAGCCGGGACCCCACCTCACCCCAACTACTACACGGGGAGTCCCGTTTGTGGGGCGGGTGCTCTTGGCAAAGTCAGGGAGACCCCCTATCGTAACAGCTGCGGTCCCATTCTCGGCCCCCTCGCCCTCTGAGGTGCTGTCGTTGACATGACTCCTCTAGTCAAGTCCTCAGACGCCGTGATCGGAAGCTGTCTTGCCAGACGAGACTGGAGAGAACCCCGAGATCGTCCCCACCCCGTGAGCTCCGAGGGGCTGGGACGGGATCCCGACTAGACATGTGGTGTCTGTGCACATGCGCCCAGGGGCGGGGACCTTTATAAAGGCGTCACGTCTGCCTTGGAGAACTACAACAGGTGGTGCTCCTGAGCCGGGCAGTGCCACCCAACCCGCCAGCACCCAGGACTTCTGCCCAGCGATGGAAATGAACATGACAGAGGTCCAAGAGGGGGAAGTAGAAATATCCCCGTGCCAGTGTGTGAGTGGCCAGGGCTGCTGGGGATGCGCTGCCATGAAAACATGGGCCTGACACACGGTCAAAGGCAAGACTTCTCTGCAGGGGTGTCGGGTCCAGAGGCCGAGAGGAGCAGCTGCCAGCGAGTCCTGATGGCCAGGAACAGGGAGAGGGAATACGGGAAGTGGAGGAGGAGGAGGGCCGGAGGGGAGGGCCCAGGGTGGGGACGCTCGGGCCTAGAGTGAAGGCTGGGGATAGGCACTTGGCAAGGACTCAGCTAGAACAGACAAACCCTAGAACCTCACGTGCCCAGGGGAGGAGGTGGACCTTCTGTGGCCCAACCAGATCTAGAAACAGGTCGGTGCCAGGGTCCAGGGCTGAGCCAGGACAGCGGCTGCAGGGTGGGCAGCGCAGGCCAATGGCACCGTCACCGACAGTGGCCTTGTCGCAGTGTTGCCAGGCCATCAGCACACAGGACCTGGTGTTGGTCACAGAAGGGCTAAGTTTGTGGGGGAAATACCTGCTCTTTATAGTTAACTGTGTCTAATAAAGGATGATGCAAACCGAGCTTAGCTGACAGTGGTGCCCTGGGCACTGACAAGCCACCACCCACTCAGGCTTGCTTCCCTCCCAGCCCAGCTCGTGCTGTGAGCAAGCAGGGCCCGGGTCAGGGAAACATTTGTGATGGACGCGGAGCTTCGGCGGGGACTGTCCCCACGCGCTGTCAGGCCTGGAGAACAGCTCCCTGGGTGGACTTGAAGTTGCCCAGGGAGGGACCTGGGACCCCTTGGACAAAAGGCGCTGATGCCAACTGGGTCTCCCCCATCCGGGTGGGCAGGCACCCAGATGGTGTGCTCTGGGGACCATGGTTCACAGCACATCCCTTCTCACTGTGATTTCCTGATTTAGTCATACAACATTAAACCTTAGTTCTAAAAGGCAATTTTCTTAAAGCTAAGGACCTTTAAA